GGCAATACCCGGAAGGAAGGAGCGCTGTGCAACGTCCCACACTCAGCACGCTCGAGGCTCAAGCAGATGCATGCGGGTTAACCTCCATTGATGTTGAATCAATGGGGCGGAGGGACGGTGGCGTGGGCTTGGTCCAGGACCAGCGGAGCTTGCAATGGCTCAGGATTTAGTCAAGCAGGATGGAGGTTTGACGACGGGAAAGCCGGCTGTCGAACGAGTTTGGCTGCACCCACACCGCGTGCCCGGGACGAAAAGGCAAGGAGGAGCGATGCTAAGCCTTGGTGCTGGTGAAAACCAGCACGAATGCTCAGCACAACACCCCCGGCAGCCACCCAAGCTGCGCTGTAAGAGCTACCAAACAAGTCCGAAAGCCGGCTATCCCAGTGCCAAATGGCAAAGTCGAATCATAAGAGATAGAAGCTATCCTGGATCTCGTGGCCTTGCATATTGCATATCCGTTGCTGCAGCTCTCTGCTACTGTGGTCCTGGCCAGTTCAGGGATATCAATCAAAGAAAGAAACAAGCTCCTCACGGCCTTACGGGTGGTACTAACCTCGTACGACACGTACTGTAGGCCAAGCCGACGTAAATGCCGGCATCTAGATGCCCACTCAATCCACCACTGAATGAGGCTGGAGACGCAAGTCTAGATGTCAGCTGCTTCAACACTCTCGACACAGTTTGTAAACCTTCTGCGCAAGGCTGCGTCTTGCGCCCGAGGATCTTAAATCATGACGGTCTTGCACGAGCACCAGAAGGCTCGTCAGAATAAGTGCAGCACAGATTCGCATCGTCGTTTTGCATGCGCTGCTGCTTGCTTTGTTCGCACCACCGACCAGTTGGCCGATGGTCGAAACAGCAGACCAGTGTCACAAATGAATCGTCGCGAGGCACGAGTGAGCGACCTTGCTGTCGTGCATGCCGTGCTCATATCCTAACCCTAATAAGACACAGTTAAGGCGATGACCCAGGGATGTCCTTGAGATGCCCCACAAGCTTGCGCGTACTGCGTGGTCCCAAGAAAAATCTCGTCAGATTCCTTGACTGACGTGAATTAATGGCCACAGCCTCTCCAACACCAAAATTCTCCAGGTAAGGCCAAGCTGGGGCACTGGCTTCGGAAGGTCCTTGACATCCCCTGTGATGTCACCGCTTAGCTTGCAGGACGTCAGGCTCCTCAGGCTGCCACGGCATCCAAGGTCTCCATATGTCTCCATGAATCATTGCATAATGCAGACTGAGGCTTTGGCCGAGGGAGATCCGCGATGCTCCCCTTGATTCCGTTGCCGTGTAATAAGTTCACATATCTCAGTTTCCTCAGATGAGCCCAGGAAACCCCAATCAATACAACCACAAAAAACCGAGGCTGTGACCGAGGGAGATCTTTGATGTCGCCCCTGATCTTGTTGACTCTGTCGACGATCGGCATGTTCAGCTTCAAGTATCTAAGGTTCCTGGGGCATGCGTACCGAAAGCCGCCCCACCCCTTGGTTCTATTGCAAGATGCGTTGAGGCACTGGCGGTGGGAGGTCCTTGAAGTCTCCGGTGATCTCCCACGCTTTCAGATCCAGGAAAGTAAGATTCCTCCGGAAGCAAAAATGGCAAGAGCGCAACCAACCGGTCTGCCGGGGAGCCGGCCGGGGCAGGTCACCAAAGTTTCCTGTGAGGTCGTAATCCTTTCCGAGGTTGAGGTGCTGCAAGGACCTACGAAGAGGTCAGGTGGGCTGTGTTGTCCTCCATTATGTTTGTGCAGAGAAGCCTTGGCAGATCTTGTATCTCCCCGATGCATTCACCAGACTGGCTCAGATCCAGGTACCGCAGTGGCCTCGGAAGCATCAGGGAGATGATGATCCTTGGGTCAAAGCGTTTCGCCGTGGAATCAAACATCCCCCAGACTTCCAGCCATTTCCAGCCTTGGTAGAGCGGCAACACTCCCGCGGACGTTCATCGCGGATGACAGATCCAAGTGCTGTAGTGTCCTCAGCTGCGGCGAAAGAGAGAGAGACCATGGGCCCATGGGCCCATGGCAGTGCGTGACATGGAGATTCCCGACTCGTTTAGCTGGGCGGCAAGGGCAGCTCTGACAGGTCCCCTGCGATCTGCAGATTGTCTCTGAGGTCAAGGTACTCGAGGGAACGTGGCAAGCCTCGTAGTTGTCCCTTGAGCAGATCATTTCGTGGAAGGCTGAGGTGTGTAAGGTTTCGCGGGAGGTCCTTCAGATCTCCTACAGGCAGCTCTCGACTGATCATCGTCAGATTGCTGAGGGACTTAGGCAGGCCGCTCACGTTCTCGATGGGCCTTCCATCTGCCCTAGCAAATCTGGCGAAGCCCAGCCCCGAGCCTTTCCGGAATGTTTCCGTCATGACTTCGCCGCTGGGGAAGAAAATCTCACCAGGCCCATCCACAGGGCTGCCGTCGCTGTTCTTGAAGCCTTGCAGACAGCCTCCATAAATGTCCGCCACGGCCGGCACGCAGAGTTGCTCGTCCTCAGCCCAGCGAGATCTTGAGGAGAGCACACGAAGTCTGCAATTCGGCCTTTTGCCCGCCTTGCTCTGAAAGGCGGTGGCCGAGCCAACCATCCGGGGCGGCTCCAGAGGTTTGCCAGCCACGAAACGAGCAATGGCCATCCTCAGCCATCTGCTTGGAAACTTTGGAGAAAAGAGGAGAGAACCGGGAAAAGACTCAGACGGTCGTTCTGCACAGGATTATGCGTTTCTCGAAAACTCAGGAGTAAAGGAGAAGGAGCCCCTGATGGTGTCAGCCTCCTCGGGCCCACATGACTTCAGGAATTCGAGGACATCAACGAAGCAACATGCGGAACAGCTGCCAGTGGGGCGAGACTAATTTACTAATTTGACTAATTACGGTTGTCTGGCTGTTGAGAACTCTCTGAAAAAAAGCCATTTTGGGCTGCTGCTGTGGTTGGGCTCCCCTTTCACTAGGCTGTCAGCTTCGAGCTGGTTTCTGACACATACTCTGCCAGCTTCCGCTGGACTTCCGAAGTTGGTTGTTGTTACCGGTTCGCTGTTGCCTCCACCCAGGTCTCGGAAACTTTGCCGTAATGATAGTCGCACAAGCAGACAGAGAGACAGGCGAAGATTCAAGACAAACGACAAACAAAAGACAAACAGGAGAGAGGCTGACAGACCCGCATAGGGATCATAGGGCGAGACTTCGCTGAAGTGCAGCGGAGGTGCAAAGTGAAGCCGCAGGCTGCCAGGCAGACAGGCCAATGGATGCCTGGGAAGGGAAAGAAAACTTGTGGGACTTCGCGAAGCACCTTGGTTCGGGCACCTGCCCTTCCTTCGACTGTCGGGGACTTGTCCAATATGTCTACTTCGACCTGACAATTAAGATCAGCAGTGAAGGAAGGTACAACATCTCTGCCAGGCCTTGTCCGCTTGAAGTAGTGGCACCTTCGATGTCCATGGCGGAACCACGCAACAGGGAACGAGTCCGTGACTGCTTCTCGGTCCTGCTCGGCCCACTTCTCGTAGCCTTCGTCCTCGTTTGCATGTCGCGCACTTCGGCGTTTGGTGGAAAGATGAGCAGCATTTTACTTCCAACGTCCTCACTCACCAAGCCGACCTCGCGGTCTTGCGAAGCCATCGTGATGCGGTGGGCGGGTATTGGGCAGGTCAGATCTGCAACGAGGTCTGCGTCGGGCCTACGGGCCTACATGATTAAATCTGATCACTGTAAATCTGAGGGCGTGTCTTCAGGTCCTTGTCATTAAGCCGTCGTTTGACGAGGCAGGAAGGTTGTGCTGCAGTCGTTGTGTATTCATTCCTAGGCCGATTCACATACTCTTGCGACAGGGAGACGCCGTGGACATGGAATGTCATGGAACCGTGCCTAAAATTAACTGCATCTCGTGATTGTCGACGGTTGCGGAAGCTTGCGGCTTGGTCTGGCAGCTGCCAGCTATAGTTTGGCTTCGCACATCGGTGCAGTTTGCGCACATGAGACGTGCAATCACGAAGGCCTAGGCATATTTTTTAGAGGGAACATGAATGCAACGTTCACGTGTCAATATCTTTGACTTTTTGAATGGAGCTGAATGGCGGATACGTGAGCACATCGCATGGCACTGACTCCGAGCTTGGAGGAGCAGGCAAAGGTGCGCGTGAATCGAAAGGCTTGCATTTTTGCGGCTGCAACCCCCCGTTCTATGTACATATGCACTACAGCAGCTGTGATGCGGTTACAGGGCATCGCAATACCCGTGAATTCGCGCTGTGGTTCGGATTTACCGTACATGAGCAGAAACCGAGTACGACCAACGAGGTTTCTGAAAGCTTTTTCACAAATTTTCTGGCCTATACCATTAGCACGCAGCTCCTGCACATCCTACAACCGTTTCAAAGAGGCAGTCGTCTTTGACGTCAGCTCCTCGTAACAACAACTTGCAATGCTGGCAGCGCTAACACCCTTTTCGCAAGCACTGATGGCCGCGTTGTACGTGACATCCTGGACAACAAGTTGATGCAACTTAAATAAGTGGGACGCGCAAGTTCTGACATTTTTCACTTCGAAGAAAGCGCGAATGAGTTACAACCCGGCTTGCTTAGCGACTTTCTTCCGCAGGCTCGTAGACGATCCCTGAGTCTGAAGAACTGACGTAGCACAACTGGTCAAGCATCGGAGATTTCGACGGATGCGACGGCCAGATCTGGCAGCAGTTGAAGAGCCAGGGGCCACGCAAGCCCTCTTTCGCAGGCCGTTACCTGAAACAAAAACCGAGATAAAAACCTCCAAGTCTCACCCTTGCAAGCTCGCCAACAGTGGCGGTCAACTACATCCGGCCAAAAAGCCTAGCAAAGCTTCAATTGCCTCGACCGGAAACCGGACACATTTCTGCATTCAGGTCTCTGTGGAAGCGAAGCTGCGACTGTATAGTTCCGATATGCTTTCATCAAGCCACCTGATCCTGCCGAATCCTGGAAGTTTGCACCCGCATCCCGAAGCATACATCGCCCAATACTGCTCGCAAAGTTGGCCCGGAGTTTGCCACGATACCATCGCATTGTACATGATGCAATGCCTGCCCGCGGAGAGCTTACAGACAACAGATCGGATCAAGTGGAATATCATCCTTGCAGCTGCGCTATCAACGGCTGCTACGTCTCCGGTAGATCGGGCAGCATTCTCCTCCCATTGTGTAATCCGGCCATGCAGCTTCTCCAGCAGCTGGCTCTGTCCATCCACAAGCAGCTGCGCGGCAGCGAGCCAATTGGCGTCCTGTCTGCTACCACAAATCTTCTAACCCGACACATTACAAGGGTTGAGAGATCCAATGGGCGGGATCTCGTCTGATGAACTACGGTTGCAGGCCCTGTAGTTTGGTAAGATGCTGAATGCATGGTCGCGTTCGGTCGCAAACCTGACCTCAGCTCTGTTAACCCGCTAGCCGCCACACACTCCTTGCCGCAGGCACCCAGTGCAGCACCACAAGCGATGCTGTCGGCGCAGGGAGAACGGAGCAGGTGCAGCACCTGAAGCTGCTGAGAGTGCAAAATCGGATGGAAAGTTGAAAGATTGAGACGAGCACCGCACAGGACCTCTTCGTCCCAACGCATGGAACCGGCCCATGATCTTCTGAAAAAATCCGAACCGAGCACCCTCCACCCTCCGGCCTTCCACCACGATGACCTCCTCGAAAGGCAAACTCTAATAAGCAGCTAGCAAATCAGGCTTCCAGAGTTTAGGTTTTGCACATCTCGACTCGCGGTCATGCTCGTTGTCAAGTTGTTGTCCTCTGGTTAGGCTATCTTGCTGGGCCCGGTGTGTGCCGCACTGGACAGATGCTGGAGCAAGACTGGAAGCTCATCAAGCATTCATCCACCAGTCCTGCTGTCTCCAACATTTGTGTGTGGAACCATCTTCGGCTTATCTTAAGATCACAACGCTTAATTGCTGTTGATTGCTGATGTCGCACGTAGCCCCGCCGCATCAATCGCCCAAGGTGCAAAATTGTCCCAGACACAAGGTGTGGGCTGGGTTTAAGCTTGGACAAGAAGTGTGCCGCCACGAGATGAACCCCTGGACCCGAAAGACTCAAGCCTTGCTCCTGTGACACCGAATTCCTGGTTTGCTTCCAGCCCGGCGGCTCGGCAGATGCCGTCGCCGAGCATCGCAGGATATGGGCATCCCGAGGCCTAATGTCGCATAAAGAAAGACTTCGTTCGGCGAATAGACAGACAGGCAGCCGGGAACGGCCCCGAAACTAAATTTCATCTAGACAGAACATACAGGAGCAGGAGTTAGGTTTATGCAACCGGGACAAGGCCGAGTGCAGGAAGCATTGGCCCTAGAAAATGACTTATGACTGCTGTTTACTTGCAGTTGTTTGCATCCACTAGTGCCACTAGTCACAAGAATTGCGTGGCTGCGTGGGGGAGAACCACTCCGAACAAGCCCTGCCCTGGGCTACAAGCGGTTTCAACCGAGCAAGAAAGATCTGCACCTACAGCAAGCTGAACCTGCTGCTGATGCCACTCTTGGGGCCTCCCTCATGACATCGGAGAACGTCGGAGCTGCATGGCGCGTGGGGCGACTCTTTCTGGACAATTCCTGTATGTAGACAGCAATCAACACCGAACGTAGTGATAGTGAGGGGCTGCTGCCGTCTTCACACCAATATCAATGAAGCAGGTGAGGGGCCAGGACAAGGAATCCCCACTGATTAACAAGCCGCCGTCGGAATGAATCGAGGCCCCGAGGCTGAAGCGGGCACAAGCTTAAAACCATCTTCGTCAGCCAAAATATGAAAAAACCGTGCTCAGGCCGGGGAGCTGCAGTGCGCAGCGAGCTCCTGCAAGTTGGACAAGACGTGCGGCCGTCTGCCTCAAAGTTTCGCTTCTGCGAGGTCGAGGCCTGCAGTGCTATTCCGCCCTCTTGTCTACTTGGGCTGGGACATCCTGAAGAGTTGTGGATCCACGGGGCGCGGGTCGCATTTCGGGGACGGCTAAAGCGGGAGTCGAGATCCTGTTTCATGCGCCACTCCTGCATTGAGGAAGTCGGACTTTGGATGCGAAGCAGCAATGTTGAAAGACCAGCTTGTTTGGGGGCACGGGTCGTGTACTTTTGGCATGCCGGAGTCTTGCTCCGCTTGGACTTGGACTCAAAAGCCGAAGGCACCACTGCGAAGCCCGGCTGCAAACATCTGTCACGGCTGTGAAGGTGACGACATCCTCGAAACACTGGTGAGTTGGGAAGGCAGCCTTGCTGAAAATGGACAATCCCATGCATTGCATTTTGAATCCTGCTGCATGGTGAGAAAAGGCTGCAAATCGATTGGCATCCTGTGCCCAGCCGATGTTACCACCATCTTTGAATGATCAAGGTCTGTTGCAATCTGCTGACATGTCATGCTGCAGGACGGCCCGCTGAAGCACAACACATCAAGAAGTCAAAGAACGTACTAGCAAGCAGTCAAGCAGATTCAAATGAAGACATGCGGAGATAGCGAGACAGAGAAGCAGCAAGCCGATACCAGCAGATACACGCACACACAAAACATCATTCAAGCAAGCAGGCTATGAAAACGTAACCAGTCATGCTCAAAAACAAGCGCGGCTGAACGGACCAAAGGTTCAACAACAACACATTATAACAGATAGCCTCGCATCCGGGCTTGGGAAGTCGGCAAGGTATCCACCACGTGTCACTTGTGCAAGCAAGCACAAACAAACGATAAACACACACACAGACGCAGACAGACAGACACAGACAGACAGACAGGCAGGCAGACAGACAGAGACACAGACACAGACACAGAGACACACATACACACACACACACAATCACACACACACACAAAAGCAGACTTTGACGCAAAGACAAGCTCAGCTAAGCATGTGCACGTCTAAGAACCGCTCGCAGACCGACAAAATCCGGCAACACAACAACAAAGCACATGCAAAAAGCCGGACAGGTGTGAATGCAAACGGCTACACATAAGCGAACCTGAGCACCTCAGGGTGTTCCCTTTCCTCGCTCGCTCGCTCGTCGTTGCTTAGGCCAGGAAGCAATCGAAAAGCGTGCCCAGCAGCTCCGTGACACTGAAGAACAAGATGCTACAGTCGATTCGTGACTCCGAGTGGCCGGATCCCGGCCGCGCACCAACAGCTCGCGCAAAGCACCGAGGGCAGGAAGCCATTCCTGGGATGTGGGCAGGCTGTGAAATTTCTTCGGACCAAGGTTGCCGCCGGAGCTCGGCGTGAGCTGAACAGGCAGCGCAAGCTGCATTGACACCGGCCAGCGCCACCTCTCGGGGGGCTCAAGGGCTGAATCCCAGAGCCGTTTCGAAGGCAGAAAGGAAAAGTAGAAAGGAGCCAGGAGCCAGTTTGGTCCCGACTTTGCCCCCGACTTCGGCTTCGGCCTGCAGGGCCCGCCCTGCAAAAGCAGCGAGGAGGGACGAGACGCGACTCCAAAGCGCGCCCTCCTCGCGAGCGCGCTCAGAGTCTTTGAGCGCTTTTCTGGCTTGAAGCCTACGGCTCAGACGTCCTGTGAGGCAACAGCCGAGGCCGCCAGAGCAGCGTCGGTCTCGGTCGCAGAAGCAGCCAAAGACCGCAAGACCTTCAACTCTCAGCATTGGATGCCCGTCGAAACGGAACACTGCGGGGCTCCTACCTTACTGAAGCCGAATGCCCGTGCGCGAGGAAAAGGTCGGCGATCGGCAACTGTCTTCCGTTTCAAGACTCAGGCATCAAGCACAGCATTGTCCGTTGTTGCCGCGGATCGACCCGTACTTGATAAGTTGGCTTCATTAACCTTTGAGGCCAGGGAAACAGAGAAAATCAATTGAACATTCTTGTGATATTTTACTTCTCCAACACGGAGCCATCTGCTGTAGAACCGGCTTAATGTTCAGGCTCCAGCTTGACAGACTATATGTCACTATCCGTTGACCCAGGCCAGGACCTCGCAGGAGTCCTCCCAGCTGCCCTTGTGACGAAGTGCACCCACGGCAGCCTCGAAGCACCGAAGTCCCATCATGTCTTCGACCAAGAAAACTCGCAAAGAAAAAACATTGACTGAAGAAAAATTGCCTGATCTGCAGCTCTTCAGAGGCGAATGCCGTTCGACTACCCAAGCATGATATAGTTCGCCGAAATGCTACTACTGTTCCCTTGCGTGGTCTGTGTGCGAAGTGCAGCTTTGTAAGTCTGCTCCCGACATGAGCCTACACTAGGCATTCATTGTTTCGACCTTTGCCCAATTCAAGCACTTAACACTAAACCTGCAGAAGCTATACCGGCTGTACCTGACCCAGGCAATCCGCAATTCTCGGTCAACCTCTTTCGAACCAGGGCCGAGCTGAGTTCACAAACACCCGTTCTCCCAGATGCATCCCTCCACATCAAAACATAAAAACGTAGTTGCTGCATTCATCTCCAGGTCCAGGTGGCTGGCTTCGTAATACGGTGGTAGCACAACCCGGCGACTTTGGGGTGAGAGCCCTGCTCGGGACCCGGGCATCACCGGCTGCTGTTGAGAACGCTGAGGACACGGCCCTGCAAGGAACCCCATAGCATTTGCAGGTGCTCTTCGACTCTTTGCTGGCATCATGCATTGAAAAGTCGCTTTTTAGGGACTCTTCGGACGTCCGGCCATGAACAGCGAAGCGCAGCTAGGCAGTTAAGGGTTGCCTCTCGCGCATCTCGTGCAGCAGGTTTGTGGATTGCGCCCAGCGCCCTCCCGCGCGCAAGGCCTCAAAAGAAGTCCGGCTGCTGCGCCCCAAGCTGTTAGCTAGCTATCTGACCAAATCCAACAATAATGTCCGATGAATTCACTCGCGTTTCAACTTCAGAACTCTCAGCTGCAAAGAGGGGATCTGCTAGGTTCCGGCCGCACGCCATCATGACACTTGCACACTACCACTACTACTTCATCATGCATGATACCACGCACGCGCGAGATCACACGATGGCTTCTTTACCCAGAGTGTTGTCCAAGTGTCTGCCAGAACTGCAGTGTAGGACGGCAAACTCCTAAGATCCGTCACAAGCGTTTCCAAACGACAATGCAAGCCGCAAGCCAAGCCATTTACTGAAACCAAGGCTCGGCCGCAGCTGCTGATTGAACGCTTCCAGGAGCACTCTGGCTCGGCGCCATTGATCCACGCAGGCCAGGAGCGCCGAAGCTGCAGTGACAAAGGCAGGGAACGTGGGCCGTTGTAGCGGTGTCAATAAAGCTGTGGGTCTCCTAAATGCCATGCGCTCCTTCGAAGATCGCCTCGCGGCTTCATAATCGTAACAGTCCAAGTAGCTCTGAGCAAGACCGGGTCCTGGCTCACAGCATTGCCATTCAGCAAGCACAAGTTGTTCAAGAAGAGTCTCTCCGTAAGAACATAACCGAAGCACTGTGTGAGTCACACTGAGACTCGAACATCTGCTGCTCAAGCCCGGGACCCAGCGGTGTGTAAACCCCGGCTGAACTTCTTACGCCCAGCTGGCTGACATGTCAGTGGCTTCGAACCCTAACTGGCAACCATCGTTCGCAATCGCAGGAGACTCCACCAGACCTTCAGACATGTTAACACTGTATATCCAGATTGTCTGTGTGCCTTTTCAAGCAGCCCCTCGACAGGTTACAAGCTCGCTATCAGCTCCTCCAACGCCAGATTTGGAAGCATCTTGGAGGCTGCCCAAGGCTTCGGACCAGCCTCGCGAGAGAACATGAGGCCGAAAGGGCTAAGCAGTACAGATGCTGGAGGACTGGGCAAACATGTTCATGGTTGATATTCCGTCACAAGGTAAGGGCCTCATGTTCTTGCACTTGTGTTGGCTTGCAGCATCCCATAGACTAGACTGGACTCTTCAAACGCGGCCGCCCAGGTCGTTTGACTTGTCAGGACACCGAAGATTGGAGCCCCGAGGCTCGGCCTTCCAACTCTTTTATGTCATGTTTGAATGCAAGCCTGGCAATGTAAAGCCATGACGATTGAACAGCCTGCCAAGGTAGCCTTGGACAGACGTTGACTATGGCATGAAGTTGCTTGCAATGCCGTATAGTACGTATGCATAGTATCAATTCATGGATCCCAGTGGCGCCGCGCTCGTTCCAGTGCAGTTAGGACGGTGTTGTAGGAGATCCTCAGCAGGGAAAGCTGCAGGCCACTCCACACCCGCATCCTCAACACTCGCCAGCAGAGCATTGATCAAGTCATTAGACTTGGCCTATCTGCTAACTTTAACCGTCATGCCTCAAACGATAGGTTCTGATGAACGACCAAGACTTCAGCGGTGGCACACATCCACTTCGAGGTAATGTCGGCGGCAGACTTCCTGCAATCGCTGCGATCAGGAGGTTTTTCGTGGAGCCGCACAGACAACTGAAAATCACCTATCCGGAGCACCCAGGCCCGCGTTCACGTATGCACGAATTAAGAACTTCAAGCAGCATGTCAAGCAAGCACTGCCAGGAGCATGATTCATGGTTGAATGCAATGAAATCTGGCTGTCGCCCGGTACGTTTCTCTTGCTCAAGCCCCGTTTTCATGTTACCGGCATGTGGTGCTGTAGCTGCGTAGCTCAAAGTAGATAGGCTACAAAAAACACAACCCAGCACTCCAGGTCGTGATTGGCAGCTTGCCACTGGCTGCTGCAAGCTGCAGAACCTTCATCTCTGGGCCGATGTCGGGGCGAAGGCGCGTTCAGTGTGAAATCACAAACGCCGGCTTCCGACACAAGCAACCGCATTCACAAATGAACCTTTTGAGCCCGAAGGAGTGGCAAGTCCACAGCTTGAAAGCTCGGCTTAACACTCGAACCGATCATGGCTGAGGAGCTAAGCTGCGTGTTGTGCACCACCACGTCCCTCAGCGAGGATGTTCGGCTTGGAAATTCTTTATGAAACTTTTGTCAGCTTGCTGGAGTCTATCTTCTGCAGCTCACAAGTTCCAACCATACTTTTGGAGCTCCGCTCGACCGCAAGGCCTCAGGGCTCGTCAACTGGCTGACTCACGACTGGCCTATCCTGGAGAAAGCCCGAAAGAACACGGCGGGATAATCTGGCCAGAAGCTCTTCCAAGAGATGAAACCAAGCCAACAGAGAAAGCTAGTTCTAACCGAGCCGCAACTGGATGCTAGCAGCCCTTGCTCCGACGACCACCTGCCGGGTCGGAAGGAGTCAGAGGATCTCAAAAGATCCTGGCAAGAAGCCACCGACACCATCTACGCGGCGCACATCCCGAAGTGCCACCGACGGAAGCTCAGCTCACCCTGGTGCGCGACTAAAGGGCGCCACGATGCTCTGGAGGCCTCCAAGCCATCAGACCAGGAGCCGCCACGCACGCAGGAGCTGCTAAGCACCTGGAGCGGACCAAACCAAGCTCTCACACCACACCACCTGTGCCAAATTACCGATGTTCTCCTCTGGTACACAATCGGTGCAATGCTAGGTTCAACTGGCTCAGCAAGCTCATCTATGAACGAGCTCCTCAAGCAACTGCCCAGAACATTTACTCGTCCCTCTCTCTCGCGCTCTCCTGCCGTCAACAGATCCAACACAGTGGGTGGTCTGAGTCTATCATGGGGGTGTCTTGAGGCCGAAGGGCAGCAACCGTCACGGGAGAAGCATCGAAGCTGGAGGCTGAAGAGATGGCCAGCCGCCAGTGTCCATCTGGTCCCCAAATATCCCACACGTGCTTGGCTTCGTCGTTTCTGATGTCTGGTGCCACGGTTCGCAGATTGGTGAAATTATGATAAGCTGCGGACGGATGCCTGAACGGGCCTACTACGCACGGGCCGCATAGGCCGCATAGGGTCCTGTGAGTCTGAATCTGAGAGTCACCGGTTTTTGTGGAGAGCCATGAGCGTCGCTGCAGCGAAGCGGCCCTCGGAGAGCCGCTGGCGAAGCGTCGGAACCAGCTCCTCTCTGAGCCTGGGAAAGTCTCTTACCCCCCCCTCTGAGGCCCAAAGCCGAGCAGGGCCTAGCAGCCTAGCATCGCATTCTCCACGACAAGTTGCCGGCTGCCAGTGGCGAGCTGGAGGGCCTCGGGCCACCTGTCATCGAAGCAAGGGCGAGCTCCCTGAGTCTATTGAGACGCTAAAACCTCACGCTCCGAGCCTGTCGTGTGCAGTCTACAGTCTCTGCAGTATCGGGCAGTCTCAGGCCGCTGCCCGGCAGTTGCCACGCAAGTCCCTGAGTTTGGCTCCAGGCTGAAGCTTCATTGGCAAGCTCAAGCCTTGTCCTGCTGAATTGCCTTGTGAAGGCAGTTCCGCATTTGCCTTCGCACCGACAAGGCTTCAGACAGCCCGTGTCTGCAATACTGCCAAACCGCCAAACCCTGAAGCCTCAGATCCATCAAGGCTCTAAAGGGCACGGCGTTGGCTTGGAGTCCCTTCAGCTGCAGCTGCCTCCATGGCACGTGAAACAGATACGGGAAGTAGAACCGATTGCTTGCGGCGCTGGGAGCAATTGCCGCACCTGAGCCAAGATAACACTGAAGTCCAGCCGCCTCCTGGCGCCGTGGAGAGCGCCTTAGAAGAGCGTCGCAGGGTTTCGGAAACAGAGGGAACTGGGGACACTCGGTGCTCACCGAATCCCAACGACCATACTGCATCTCAGCAGCAGCCAAGGAGACACCGTCAGCACGCACACCTGCTTTTCGTGGGACATACCAGGCTTGTCAGGTTTTCAGCTGCGGCACCCTTCGAGAAGCAAGGCACCGGTGTAACTCCAGGATTCTGGAAGCTGCCGCACGCCACAAAGCCCATTCTCTGCACGTGCCTCGCTGCAGTCCCTCTTGTAGAAAGTCGGCACTCCGTTGCCAGGTACGTCCCACCTGAACTCCGTGATGCGCATCACGGATGCCGACCCTTAATACCGGTCTTCTCTTGATAATGATGACGGCGTGGGCTTATCGACACAGATTTCTGCAGAACCTTGGGCTCGTAAGGGTTTGGGCAGGGTTCGTGAGGAGATGGGATGTATCGCGATGCTGCTAGGCTTTCGTCACGACACATGATGACTCCATGGCTATGCTGACCGTATCTTCGCTTCACGGCTTGGGTACAAGAAGCCGCCGTACACACGCCAGGCCCCGCGCTGCGTAGAGTGCCGCATTGAAGGATATCCCTCCAAGCAGGATTGCGGCTCTCCCCATGTCCTCACAGACGTCACCACGACAGCCCCACGTCAGATTTGCGACCACCAGAGGGAAAACTAAGCCTGGCGTAGCAACACACATCCATTGTGGAGCGCGCTCGGGACTTGCAGCAGCGACACCCGAAGCAAGCAAGCTGCCCGATGCCAGCGCCGCGCGCTCCTTTTTCAGGACATGAAGCATGATCAGCTTCAGATTGCTGACATCGCCAATGACACATGGAACTGCGATGAGCCTTGCCTGCCACATCAATAGGCTTTCACGAGTATGCTGCCATCACTGCCACAGGGAGAGACACTTGCGCAGTGTGAAAGTTACAGTTGCAAAGGGTTGACTACGGCTGTGGAGAAGCTGCCCCCTTTCAACAAACAATCGGCGACTGCCTGTCCTGCAGCCTCCACATGCTGCGGTGCAGCTCACAGCATCTGGAAGCACCGTCTCGTGAGTCAGGTCCTGTCGTGCCGGCTTCTTCCATCTCACACCGGCCCCTTCCCTCTCCAAAGTATGAACCAGTCTAAACCCCCGAATTGCGGCCATGCCTGCACAGAAGGCACATGCGCACTGTGTTGTGGCCTGCAGAGTGTCGAAGACTTCACGCCACCGATCGCAAAGAGCGTAGATCTTCATGACGGAGTTGAACCTATAGCCACAGCCGCTGTGGTAGTAACAAGAGCAACAGCTGCGGCGGGACCTATCATGCCATCCACCAATAGCTGCAGCAAGCAGAGCTGCACTGCATGGCTTTACGTGTGCAGGCCGTCTGATGCTATAGGCGAGACCAACGAGAAGCCCAAGTGCGCTCGGCGAGTCATGCTCAGAGCTGCGGGACCGGCTGGAAGATCACTATGAGGAAGGCAGAACAGACCAGAAGTGCAGCACAACAAACTGCCGCGAAAGGAAGCACCCACGGTCATCCTTTGGACACCGTCGGGGCATCGTATACAGTACCAAGCCTGGTCTCACATCTATATTGCTTTGTGTGCTGCAGTGCCGCAATTGGTCATTGAATCTCCGTATGTTCAGAAGTCTAATGAGTCTAATGAGAATCTGCTTGGTGCTTGAAGCAGGTCACGAGGCCAGCGTCGCCTCCAGCCGCCACCGCCAGCAGCAAGCGAAAAGGTCCATCGCCGGCCTTGGCTCTTCGTTTTCGTTGGCTCTTCGCACCGGTCTCCAGCTTTTTGTTTTAGCCATCACAGTGACCCTGAAACGCAGAGCTCCGGATTTCGCCGCTGATGATGGAAACTACAGAGAAGCCTCGGAGAAGCGTGTGATCCGAAATTCCGGCGCTCCAGTGATGATGGGTCGAGACTTCCCGCTGATCTAGGATGGTTTCTCCCGTGCATTGCCTGACGATGCCCGTCAGGCAGGGCAACTGTGGCAATATCATCAAGATCAGTGGACTCAACAACCCATGATGTCACGCGCCCTTCAACGGAGCTCTGCAGCAATCTCACCAAATCGTTTGGAAGTGAAGCTGAAGCGTGGGGAGTCTAACAATTGCGAAAGATCACTGTGCAACTGGCATGTCGCGCAGTCCTCGCCCAGCACCCCTGGGTGCCTCCCTAATTGCATTTTTGCAGAATGAGAACAAGGCTCACCGGCAGCATGCTACAAAAGGCAACCGGTACCCAAGGTACACAGCCGGGCCGCAGCCAGCCTTGTTGTCCCTGGCCGGCTGCACCGATCCTGAGATGCTCTGGCACTCTGGCCTTCAACAAGGATCTAAGATATCTGTCTTTGTGCTCTTTGGGTGCAGCGTTTGCAGTGCACAGGTGAGTGTGACGAGCGACGGTGGGCTGGTGATCTCCCGATCTACATAATTCCTCTGTTGCTGCGTCTTGTACCCAGACGGGTCCAGAAACAGATGAGAATTAAGAGATGCAGTGAACCATTACCACTTACTGCCACATGCACCGCGATCACTTGTCTGCAGCTGCGCAGCGCTATGTTGCAGAGGACGGGATCGAGGCGGATCCCATGAGCGAAGCAGTCCTCACTCGTGGTCGGATAGTAAACGATATTCATGCAAGGACTTTGCAGCCTGTAGATGTCTGTAGCCTGTAGGACAGTGAACCATGAAAGGAATTGAAGTGAACTCATAAGCACCCAGTTCTGATTGAGTCGTTGTCTACCAGGCCAGAGAGAGCGGGCCAATTTAGCCGTCCAGCTCAACCAAGTCGCGGAGACCAGAAGCGCGGCAGTCTGCCATTGGCTGGCCTGCAAGATGCCAACCATGTCACAACAGGAATGCAGCTTAGAGTCACGAGTTCCTGTTCGTTGCACGGACATCATGCCTGCCACTAGACTGTCCAAAGAAGCACCTCTCGCCTGATGATGTGCCGAAGCCAAATGTATGTATATAAAGGTATAAGTAGATAGGAGATCCGATGCTAGCTGATGCCTCTGAGGATGGCCTAAATAGGTCAGTGCGTCAATGGCCGTGTTGTTTGGAGAAGTGCTTTCGGGTTTTGTTCAAACAAAGACTTTGCTCAGATGCCAGGCTTCTGCAAGCTCCTCCAGTGGCCAAAGCAAGAGACTGGTCTCTCATCCGGGTCCTTGGTTGCGGCACTGGCCGCGCGAGCAGCGGCCAATGCAGCGGGGCCTCCACAGTCCGTGCTGTGGCTTGCTTGGGATTTGGTGATCCGGGCTGGAAAAAATTTAGACTTCTTGTCGTTTGTGCCTACAGTGGCCCGAGGGCGATAAGGTGTCGACCAAAGGCTGTTTTCGAACTCCATGCAAACCCCGCACTCAAGTGTGCAATTGCATGTCTCTTGCGTTTCACGACAAGACTAAGCCACAAAATCAAACAGGAATTCTGGAAATTGCAGAAGAACCTCGTGCTTCAATTCCAAATCAATTTCCTTCAATGCCACATGTATGTCATGCATGACACGACCTTTGCAGTTGCAAGCCCTGACATCCTGAATCGACAGGTATATGCCCACTGCATGTGGGACTTGGTTGGTCAAGCCGGTCAAACCCGTTCCTGGCGGACGCATGTCCACCAGTGCGGCCTCAGCTCAGAACATTTGGAAGGCTGCATGAGCCAGCTCCAGTCAGCAATCTTGCAGCTGCTTGATCTCGGATCGTAGTTGACCGTAGGATTCTAGGTATGTGTTTGATAGCTGTTGTGCATCACAAGGCAGCTCCGGTCATCCATGGGCTGCAGGTGCAGCTGACACACGTGTGGTTTATGCATCCGAGAATGGCGAGCATTTGCAACATAGCCAAGAAGACCCGAACTGGGGCCACTGCCGATCTAGGGCTTCCGAATTCCGGACATGGTGGTGGCCGGCAACGGTCTGAGGCATCAATAGGCATCACAGCTGATTCAAACATGTGTCCTCCGTCTTTCTCTTCTGTCGGTCTCTCTCTCTCTCTCTTTCTTCTCCTTCCACAAGGCATAGAGGTGTGCGAAATCCTTGGCCTTTAAAGGCCCCCCAATGTTTGGGGCTCCTTTGAAGGGGTGTGAAATAACCACGAGTCAGGCCCCCACTAGTTTAGCACACCTTGGAGTTTAAGTCACTAACCCTAGCACAGTAAGAACTTTCATGGGACCTTCCCCACCACTGGAAAGTTGAACGAACAGGGTGTGACCCCTTTCGCTTGGTTAAAGCGAAGTCGGAGAAGGAGAAGTTGTGCTGAACGAAGTCTAGCCGGAGTCTAGCCACTCATGCAGGCCGGTACAGCGGGAAAGGTCACTGTCGCTGACACGAAAAAAGCAGGAAGGCAGAACTAACGAAAAGGTCACAGCGCAGCGACTTTGGTCGACGTTTTCCCACGCACGACAAAAATGCTTGGAGTTGCCCCTGTAAGTACCTGTAAGTGAAACTTGGATCCCTCACTGTGGCTCACGCTCCCTTTTCTTGTTCCATCTCTCGAGATCAGACCTGGCTGATTCCCTTCAGGCTTTCGGTTCGCCCAGCAGCCGAGTAAGCTCCTCTGACCCAGCCACCGACTCCGACACGTCGTCTTGTTCCTCCCTGGTCAGCCAATGACGTGGCACCACCTGCAGAAGTCGCCTGTGGCTCGGACGGGTCCTGGCTTTCCATCCTTACTTGCTCCTGCACCTTGAGGTCCGTGACCTCTTGCTCGGCAGTTCTGACTCGCAGCTCCGTCATGCGCAGATGGTCGGCCGAGCGTGACCTGCGATGTGCGGGGTTCATCTTGCGGTTCAGTCTCCTCTGGTCAAACATCCGCAACCGTCTCCTCATCAGTGGCCAGGCCGCAGTTGGCCTTTCCACGAGGGCATGAGGATGGAGCAGCTGCCTGACCTCGCTCAGAAGCTGGAGGTTGAAATTCCGCCACTCCTCCAAAAGCTCTGCCTTCAAAGCCTCGACTGCAGCGTCCCTTGCAGAAGTTGTCGCCATGGGGATGTCTCACGAAGTTGCTAAGTGCTTGGCGGGATACAAGTCACAACAAGCTCGAGCCAAAAATATCTCTCTCGCTCTCTCTCTCCCCCTCCCTCTCTCTCTCCATGTACTCGCACATGCAGAACAAGAAAGGTTCTGTGTTTTTCCTGCGGACACACAGACATCTCTCCCTCAGTACATAAACCCTGTCATCGTCCCCGCAAGATCGCCAAACATCCCCCAACTGGTGTACTGGTACTGCATCTTCTTCTGCCCTCATGCCTTGCCGCTTCTGCAGCCAAGCGTCTGCAAGTCGTCCCATGGCTCCCTGAGCACGAAGTCCTTGTCAGGATGCCCGGAACCAGCTCGAGAAGCCAAGGCTACAGAGTTATTGAGGGGACCCAAACTCGAATCCCTATCCAGCGAGTGCTCGGTCACAGGGAGCTTAGCTCAACCTCGGTGGCCTAGACGAAATGCAAAATTCTTCCCAATGCATGCTCTTCAGCATCACCGTCCCTGTTGATGGCTATACTATACCATTCAACCTGTACACATTACTTCGAAGGAAGCTGTTCCCTTTCCACAAGTTTTTGGCACGAACTGGCCGCAGAATTCTCGTACTCGACGGCTAGGGCTAGGCATTGTTAGCTGCCATGCGATTTGAGCATAAGCGGAAGTAGAACCCTTCCAGCAGCCCTGACACACTCAAGGACGCATTGCGTATCAGGGAACAGGATCAACAATTCACTCTACTGCAGTCCACACGCCCGTGGCCTGTCCCTGACCATGCAGACATGTAATGAAGCCCTGAACCGCAAAGCGACCCAAACTTCTGCGTCCGGTCCGACACCGGCTTGTCAGCGGCCCATGCGAAGGAAAGAGAACTGGCCCCTCTAAAGGCCTAGGGCTCCTACAGGTCACACTTATCTTTTCAGCTGTGCGGATCAGGATTTCTTGGTGCTCGGAAGCCCGGGGCCCGGGGTGGGTCAAAGGCTTGGCTTGAAAAGCATGACACTCTTCAGGGCTTCATCACGGGTGTAGAAGCTTCTGAAAGCAGCCGATTAGGCCAAATTCCAGCACATGAGCACATTTCCGAGCAATGTGAATCAAAGGCAGCTTGAAAGAAGCTCTGGCGTCTTTCTTCTCTGCACACGCGATCTGCGAGTAGGCAGCGCGACAAACCTTCAACTCGGTTGCTTCGTGCACCTAACATCATGCACACTGATTTCTGGTGCCTAGGCCCCGACTAGAGTAACAGCGTGTGCTCGAAAATATCAGGTTGGAGACACCTACGCTAGGTCGCTAGGTTCCCTGAACAGACCCTGTGTCGGCGCACAAGGCTTTGAACCTGGGTTGAGGTGCCACTCCAGGGGCAAACTGTCCGACCACCCGTCTCGCAGAGTGGTGCAGTGCCCCGGGCGCCGAGGCCACACGGAGCTTCTGCGAGCTTCAACAACATCCTTTCGCGCAGAGCTCGGAGAAGCTCCAGCTTGAATGGACCCACGCATTTTCACTGCACATTGACGGTTTTCATTATTCGCCCGTTGTGCTGATCAGCCTTTCTGATGCTGAGAGGTCCATTGAAGGGTGGCTCTGTATGTACAAGCTTGATCATCCGTCGCTCGCTGTCTTCGGGCAAGAGAATCTGGACGTTCTTGTGAGGTTCGGTTTTGGGGAGGAGGGTAGGGGTCGTATCATCCGCGAGCTCGTTGCAGCTTCATCTCATGCCTTCACCCAATCATCTTCTGGATCTTCGGGTGAATCGATCGCACCTTGGGACCGACATGGGATCGATGGTGCTCGCTTCCGGGTTCGGGGACCCAATGATGCTTCGAGCGGCCGTGCTCAAGCTTGTTTGGGTTGAGCACACGGTTGGAACAGGAACCATAGATAACCGCCCAAACTGCCATCTTAACGATGTCGACCCGATCTCAAAGTCTTGTGCTCTGCACCTGGGCGGCCAAAGGCAGGTGGCCAGCCTCCAGAAAGAGTCAGTCGTGGTCTCGCCAACGCCTCATCCAAAAATGGTTCTGTTACCAGGCCTGTGGGCATCCGAAAGTTCCCGCAATACTGCTGAAAACAAAAAACCATCTCTCTTCTTCGAGCTGAAACGTGCAAATAGATGCGCGGACTCTCGCACCTGGGACGATTCCTCGCCAACCGCCGCACCCAAGGCTCCACCAAACAGCTGCCTGCTGAAGTCGAGAATGGATGCGCCGTGCAGGGCTCTAAGTCACGGAGTTTGGATCGTGTTGAGCTGTTTCGCCGCTCACACTCGGACAATCCAGGCGAGGCATGTTGAGTTGTTTTTGGTTTCTGGACATGGATTGTGCCAGACTCGTGCTCTCAGCATGCCCTTTCAAGCTCGCAAGGTCGCAAACGAACTTCAGTACACAGGCGATCGGCCGACTGCTCAAGATAGATAGCCTTTCTACGAATACTCCTGCCGCCTCCACCTCACAAGATCGCACCCTTCATGTTCAAACTCTCACCTGAGATCATCACCGGAGGCAGTTTCGCCGTGGTAGAGAACCTTGGAGCTGAGGGCCCAACTGAGCAAACGGTATGCAAACCCGCCGTCTCGTGCAAAAAAGAGCTACGAATCGTCTTGGTTTTGTTGATCTTGCTTGCACGTGCGGATGTCTGGAAGGTTGGTGAACCTCTGTGGCTTGTGGTCCATCTGCCTTTCGGCTCGCATGAGGCAAAGCTGAGCACCGCAGGGTTCCAAATGCTACTGTTACTTGTAGTTTGAGGATCTTGGACATTTGGCTTGGGCGATTTGATCCGGGTCGGGGCTTCCAGTGCCAAAGAGCCGTCTCGCTGGGATGCTCGGACCGGCTTATTTCGATCTCGCGGCGCCCTGGAGATTGGATTGGCATCCAAAAACATGGCGGGCTGGTTGGGGAATCACTCGAACCGGGGTGGGAAAAGGTTTGAGGCCCCTGGTGGTTTCGGCATACTGCAATGCTCTAGATGCTAAGCCCACCCCTACATGAGGTCACTGCGGCAACCTCAACCAGTCGACCCATGACTGCGCTGAATGTGCAAACTTCATCTGAGCGGAGAGGTGTCGAAACCAGGCTCATGAATTCCCCTGCAGCTTCCGCAAAAACCGGTCCTCGCAAAGCAGCAAGACCCTTTACATACAGAAACCATTCAACACAACACTCTCAGGGCCCATGTCGCGCACAACAGAAGACTTCAACAAAATCCAGCTAGCTTTCCCAGCTATTTACGTACCTGTTCATTGTCTATCTATCTATCTATCCCATAAATGTGTTGTTCGATCTGTCCATCCATCTTTCGATCTATCGGCGTATCCTGCTGTCTATGCCCTACCTAATAAATTATCCATCGATCCGGCCGTGCATCTGTCCGCTATCTACCTATCATCTATCGAAGAACATTCCGGAACACCCTGCAGCATGTGTACTTCATGCCGTGGGTCATGAAACAGGTAAAGGGTTGGGTCAGCCAAACCAGAGCGACAGGTAGGCATAGAGCTGTGATGATGATGATGATGATGACGATGATGATGATGATGACGATGATGATGATGACGATGATGATGATGATGATCCTTACCTGATCCTGATGATGATGATGATGACGACGATGATGACGATGACGATTTGGTCTGCCAGGCTTGAGGGAAACCCAAAGCAGAAAAGGGCAAAGGAGTACCACGGGGGAACCTGGTCTGAATCATTTTGCAATCAATGGGAGTGCTGGCCTGGCACCATCTCTCCAGCTCGTAGGGATGCGTTCAAGTGGTCGCGATTAACATCCGGAGGATAGGCGAAGACACGCAGCTGAGGGCCTCAATTGCTTTGAGGAACTTGGGGAGGAGGGACTGGGACGAAAGCTAGCCAACAGAACAGGCTTGCAAACGTAGAGGTTCAGCGCAACGGCCGCTAGCAACGAAGTCCTACAGTCCTAACCCAAGCCAGCAAGCGATCATGAGCATCATCGGGACCCAGATCGGAGCCGACAGGCAAGCATCATGAGCATCATCGGGGGCTCGTTTCTCCATTCTGGAGCGATCTGCGCGGAAACCAGTCCAAAATCTGCCACCTCCACGGGGGGCCCCTCCCCACACCCCTTGTTGCAACCTTCGGTTGATAAGAAACTCAGCTAGCCTCGGAGGCTAGCTTTTGAAGGTCAATGATTCGGGGGCTTCTAATTGGTGCCCCGGAACCCGCGGAACCGATCCCAGAGCCCTGTCATTGCTCAGCCCTCGCGAAACCCGAAACCCAAACCTCCAAAACAAACTGTAGGCCTTAAACCCGCCAAGCCTACTCTCCCGCTCTCTGCCGTGCCATCCGATGAATGCTACCAGTTTCGGCAATGATTGGGGTGGTATATGCACACACAGTCTAGGTGGGCAAACTCAGCACACTTCTCTCTTTGCGGGTTGCGAAGCAAATTTTAGCTTCGATGATGCAGGTCTGCAGGTTGTTTTACCGGTGTGGGTCTCCATCTCTGCCCCGTACAACTCTTTGGATCCAGCGCAGGCACAGAGCCACAGCGGAACCTGGGTGGAGACATGCGTCGCCTGGGCACCAGTACATGCCAGGCTGCATTCGTCGTCAACTCTTGTAGGGCGAATGTTCTTGCTGAAACGAATGCAAATCATCTGTGGAAGACGGGTTGTCTTCGTTTCCGTGGGACAAACATCGACCTGTCTGTTGTCTGTTCCCAGATCTCTGATGCCTAGCTGAAATTGTATAGCCCACTTCCTGGCACGACCTTGCCGATCCTTCAGGGCCTTAAGTGCTGAAATGATTTCAACCTCTGAAGAAAATCTCAATCCAGCGTCTGTCTCTGCGAAGGCAAGCCATTTCGAGACCCCCTCATCGGATCTCGTGGTTGCTGCCGGGCTCAGGTCTGAACCATGCCTCTTCGAACAGCTGCTTGCATTCTCTCTTGTTTCCACGACGAAAGTTACGTGGTACGCCGTGGTCACTATCGCAACCTACTGTTGCACGACGAGTTTGGTTGCTGTGCGATTCCATGGA